TCAGCTAAATGTCCACCAAACACGTTCCTGGCGCGGAGAATTTGGCACTTTCTTGTTAAGAGAATTTGGTACTTTCTTGTTAAGAGAATTTGGCACTTTCTGATATGGAGAATTTAGTATTTTCTGGTTCAGAGAATTTGGCACTTTCTTATTAAGAGAATTTGGCACTTTCTTGTTAAGAGAATTTGGCACTTTCTTGTTAAGAGAATTTGGCACTTTCTTGTTAAGAGAATTTGGCACTTTCTTGTTAAGAGAATTTGGCACTTTCTGATATGGAGAATTTGGTATTTTCTGGTTCAGAGAATTTGGCACTTTCTTGTTAAGAGAATTTGGCACTTTCAGGTTCTGAGAATTTGGCCCTCTCTGGTTCAGAGAATTTGGCACTTTTTCATATGGACAATTTGGTACTTTCTGAAATAGAGAATTTGTCACTTTCTGAAACTAAGAAGTTGCAGTTCTGTGTTTCGCCTGTAATCCCACATTATGTGCGATTATTTTTTAATATGAATGAACTTGTTAACGCTTTAAAATGCGCTGATTGTAATGCTAAACCGTGATGATAAGGATAATGATGACAGTTAGAAATGATATAATAGTAGTAGAAAAAGTAACAATGATAAAAATATTAATAATAATAATAATGATAATAATAACAATAACAAAACAATAACAATGATAATAATAATAATAATAATGATAATCAATAATAATAATAATAAATGATAATGATAATAATAATATTAATAATAATAATAAACGATAATGATAATAATAATAATAATAACAATAATGATGATAATGATAAACATTAATTCAGCAATAATAATAGTAGTAGTAGTAGTAGTATCATCATTACTATTACTATTTCTATTATGTTGTTACTATTGTTATTATTATATTACTTTTTCATAATAATAATAATTATTATTATTATTATCATTATTATTATCATTATTATTATTATTATTATTATTATTATTATTATAATTATTATTACCATTAGCATTATCCTCATCATCATCTTAATAGTAACTATTATCAGCATTAGTAGTATTTTTGTATCTATAGTATCATCATTAGCATTGCTATTATGATTATGATTGTGTCTTTTAGCACCATTATATAATATATCATCATTATCATTATCATTATAATTATCATCACCATTATCATAACCTTTACATTTACAGCTATTAACACAATGGCAGTAAAATAATCACAAATATAGACCACTAAATGACATCAAACAACCTCAGAGTTTGTAAACACCATTCCAAAGTTACAATAATTTCAAAGTATACCAAAGATAATATCTAAATAAACGAAATCAGAGGCCTATATATGATCAAAGGAATACAGTGAAGAAATGTAACTATAACTTAAATTCACCCATTTGGCTTTGACCGACCTGCGAAGAGGCATTAATGAAATCATTTTCTTTTTTTTTCTTTTGATAATAATTGCGCTTGGAGTGATTAAGGAGCTGTCCAGTATCTATTTCCCTGGATGGCATGTTGAGTATCTATCATTTCCAAACTGTTTTCGCGAGAATATTTTTTTTAGTACCGATGTTTGTAACAAAATTCGTCCTTACTCTGTTGATATTGTGTAACTTGATTGGTTAGTTAAACTTTGATCAACGTAAACATTCCGGTTAACTGTGTTTTCCTCAACACGTTTTTTTTTTCTCTTTTTTTTTCTTTTTTTTTTTTTTTCTTTTTTTTTTGGGGGGGGGGCTTCGATTGTTGTTGACGTGACTAAATTGCAAGTAACAAAGGCTGCACAATTTCCAAACTATAAAATTCATATTGCTGTGGATTGTAAATATTGTTGGTACTGCCTGCCAATCATAGTTGCCTCTGTCTGTCTATTTTCGACCTTCTCAATAATCCTTTGTTATTTTTAGAAAAAATGACTTTATCATTATTATCTTTTTTAATTACTGATATTCCAATAACCCAATCGGCACGGATGGACAAAATACATGCCATGCCCACTGTGATATGAATTTATATATTGTATTTACACATAGATGGCTCTGCAAGTGCTTAGTCACCAAGGAGTCAGTTATTAGTCCTACCTGTCTCACCTGTTTACCCTTTTTCTTGACTTTTAGAAAGGTCTTTAGTATTATTTCAGTGTCTTACATGTTACCAAGATTTTAATAACTATTTAATAAGCTTAACACCAATAACAATAATAACAGTATATATCAATTGCATTAAAAAGAAAAACACATTTTCCAGCCATGGGGAAATGGGGAAATCAGGATCGGTCATTAAGACTTACTGGTAGATTCCTTGCCGGCTGAGCACATGTGGAGCCATCTGTATTTAATAACATTCACAAAAAAGAGAGAGAGAAAAAAAAAAAAAAAAAAAAAACACAGGGGACAGAACGTAAATCCGTGGTGATTGATTGATTGATTATTTAAAATTATCTGCTGCGTCAACAGTTAACGTTATTAGCGGCGAACCCCTTGTCAGATTGAAATGTTAAAGTATTTAAAATGTTAAAAAATCAATCAATAAATGTCTTATGAATAACAATAAATATCAGATTAAAAATCAAAGCATAGATATTATGTTCTAAATGTATAAAATTATTGCATAAACATTTTTTTTTTTTTCTTTTTTAATATTAGTTTCTCTAAGGAAACTGATAACACCTTCTATGCCACAATCTTCCCCCAATATATTCTTCAGTGTATATGGGGAGACAAGTACATACAAGTCCTTGCAGCTGAGAATGTCGCACATCTTTCCACTACTGTGCGACCGTTAATGGTTCTTGGCATCCCTCACGGTGTGCTTCACTTTTAGCCATCATCGGCCCACGAGTCAGTGTTGTGTGCCCGATTCTTAGTCTTGTTAATACAACTTCTACTTGTCGGTTGGGATGGATGCTGGTCACCTAGCTTCCAAGGTCATCTCTAATTCCTCGCAGTTTTTTCCTTGAGATTTGTCTGAATTGTTTCCTCCATTTATCGCGAAGACCTTTCTTGATATTAGGTGTCAAATCATTGTGTGGGAGAGGAAAACAAACATGACAGTTACTTTTTTACTTGCTGACATCAGTGCAAGTCAATCTTGGACCTCTCTCACCACTGGATGTGATGAGCTTAAGCACTTGATCGCTTGCAAAGCACTGCGAGAGTCACAATATAATATAATAGGATGGTTCGGAAGATCTCTAGTCATCTTGACTGCTGCAAGGGTGGCATGTAACTCTGCCGTGAAGATCGAGGCTGCTAGAGAAAGACTGCTAATTGCAGTCTTCCTTCTGCTCACTGCTGCAAAACCCACACCATTTTCAGATTGCGAACCATCTGTATATATTGCATCTGATCCTCGGTACTTAGAAGTGTCTTGAAGAAATCTCTCTCTGGTTTCTGCTTCGGCTCTCCCCTTTCGCAATTCCGACCGAATCGAGCTCGACTTGCTTGGTCCAAGGGGAGAATTGGGGAGTTCCAACAGCCAGAACCTCGGTTAGATTTAAATTAAGATCTTCCACAAGATTCCTCATTCTCCTACCATAGGATCGGCTATCCGTGGAGGTTGGGTTTATGTGATTAATACTATTTAATCTATATCATTACATTTTACTTCATTTTACAATTCTCTCAGTCACTCTTTTAAAGCCACTATAATTCTATTAATAATTTTATTACCACCTTCCTTCCGTCACTACAACTATGTTAAGTTGAGAGGAAAATATAGCAAGCGTTAATATCAAAATTAAATACCTATGACGTTATTACAGACATAAGTTGGAAAATGAGATATATCAGCATGAAACAATTTGAATTAGAGCTGTATATTTTCAACAGAAGGAATTTCATATGTCACCCCTAAAGCAACATAAAAAATATATATATAAATTCATTTAATAAGGAATAGTAATACATGTAATTTTCAGACGGGGGTCAGACCAGTCTCCTTTTGTGCCATGACTGAGGCCAATCATCGACGGTTGGCAGCCTTTGGCATTTCTTCATTAGTTCTACCCTACACTTCTTTTAATTTATTCTCGTGTTGTCTTCGTGCGATCATGAATAAATGAGTTAGTCTCAATGTAAAAGCACGGAATAGAATTATGTTAAAAAGAAATAAAATGCGTGTATTTTTTTTTCTTTATTTTCTTTGATTACTGTAATATAATGGAACTTCATTTGTGTGTGTGTATGTGTTCAAACATCTTTAAAAATGAATCCTTATAAAATGAAGTATAAGAGCCGAAAAAAGGTCTAGTGCCAATTTTTAAAAAGATATCTGCTTCCTTGAATACTTGACATTCAGAAATGAAAAACTAAAAAAAAAGAAAAGAAAAAAGAAACACTGCGAGTTTGGGAAATAAAACAAAAATCTTTTCGGCAGATCCGGCTTTTTATGGAAGCAAAGAAAAAAAAATTATATGTATGTTTATATACGTTTATATATATATATATATATATATATATATATATATATATATATATATATATATAAAGTTTATTTGGTTCGCGTTAGATGTTGTAAAAATATCGAATTTACATTGATTTCAAATAAACTTTCGTGTTTTGTTTACATTTTAGCGAGGGCTGATGTAAAGGTGGATTTTTTAGACTTTTTCCTGAAGAAGTCTAGCTGCCGAAGGATTTTTGTAATTCATTTATTTAGAAACTCTGGCTACAGTAGTCTAATTCGTGATTTCAAGATCCATTCATTGGGTACATTTTGTTCCGTGACGATTCTTTTTTTTTTCTTTTTTTTTTCTTTTTTTTTTGAGATGATAATATATCTCAACGGGAGGAAGCTACAAATGGATATACTTCCTGTGGACTCGCATAACTTCGGACATCACCAGAAACGTAAAACAATTTCATAAAACAACATTTCATAAAGCAATAAGCGCATATTACACTGCAATTTATTCTAGCCGTCACCATACACATAACATATTTTTCTTTATTTCATAATTCAATATAAGCAATACTTCAACATATAAATCAAATATTCCGTATTTCGACAACTTGTATCATACAGCAACTCATGCCCCTGCCAAATAATAATAATAATAATAATAATAATCGAGGCCCGGTCAGGGAGTGTTATCATATATCTATATCAATGCGGTACTGCATTATTCCATCATTCATATATATATATATATATATATATATATATATATATATATATATATATATATATCTCAATACATCTGACTTTTCGAATTCCTAAATCACTTTCCACCGAGTGCCCACGAGGAGTATGTTTAAAACCTCACTATCATTACTCTCGTATGGGTAGTTAGGTAATGTCTATGGAGTTAGTTAGATCCTAGTTACACACTCCTTTTAGTGGGTCGTGTGGTATGGTTGGTTTAGTGCTGGCCCTCTGGTTTCATTTCCGGAGTGGCCTGGGTTCGAAGCCCCGTCAGGAAAGGTTGTTATATATCATATATATATCTCAATGCGGCATTGCATTATTCCATCTTTCAGTAATAACAATAATAATGGAATGGATACATGGTAATAACAAATAAGTAAGTATTAATTGGATAAAAGATAAAAAAAAGTTCTCTTCTATTGAAACTAATACTATTTCTTACAGCAACTCATTCATAAAATATTTCAATTACCCTCACGCTCTTACAGCCAAAGTACGTGTCTGTCCAACTTTAACATTTGGTCTAGTGTATCTTGAAATTTTGAAGTAAAACAGAGAAAAAAAATAGAAAAGATGGATATAAAAAAAAAAAATAGAAAAAAAAAATATGATCATTGTTTACAAAATGACCCAAGTCGCTAATACTCCACCAAACAACCATCGAGGTATTCAATGGGATCCACAAACATCGAAGCATGAACCAAATTCCCTTTCTATCCCTCGGACTCCAACCCTGGATCCCCCCCCCCTCCTACCCACTCCCACACCCTCCTACCCACTCCCACCCACTCACCTAACCAATCGCCTGATTTCCTTAGCCTGCCTTTTATTCTTCTTCTTTGACGTTATTTTGTACTTAATAATTGTGTTTTCCTTAGTATAGGTCATTATATGATATACACTTAGTATATGAATGAAAAAACACACAACAGAAAAAAAAAATGAAGAAAATACAGTGGGAAAATATGTTGATAAATATATGGAGGTAGAAAATAAAGAAGAGAAGACGAGATGAGGATTAAGAGAAAGAGCAAAAAAAAAAAAGAGAAAAAGCAAAAGAGAAAAGTAGAGAAAAAGCAACAGAAAAATAAATGGGGGAAAATGGGAGAAATGAAATATAAAAGGCAAAAGAAAACGTATGAGGGAAATAAATAAAAAAAATAGTAAAATATAAAATATGAAAAACAGAAGTATGAAAAAGTAGAGGAAAAGATATGATGTACAAATAAAATGGAAAAAAGGAGAATCTTCACTGAGAAAAAGGATAAAAGGAAAACGATAGAGAAATAAAGAAAACCTAGAAAAATGAATGGCAGAAAAATAGGAACAAATGAAGAACAAGACAGAAGAAAAGAAACACATATTCTTTTTTAAACAGAAAATAGAAAAAAAAGGAAAAAAAGACTGACGTATGAAAACAAAAAAAAAAAAGAATAAAAAAATAAAAATGCGGGAAAAAGTGAAGAAAACCAACAAAGATGGAAGAGAAAATAAAAGAAATGAAAATCGCTTTCCTGGGTCTAAGAATTACCCCAGACTTTCAAAACAGCGAAGGGGGGAAGACCGTTGCTTAAGGCTTTGCGTTAGTGGAAGAAGAGGATAAAGGTGAAGGTGGAAGAGAAAGGAAGAAGAGAAAGCTATGGCGAGAGGAAGAGAAATGTTCCTTTACTCAATATCTCCGAGAGTAACTGATTGGGAGTGTTAGTTAGAGTAGGAGTGGGAGTGGGAAGGAGGGAGAGAGGGAGAGAAAGAGAGTAGAGGGAGGGAGGTGTTGTGTGTGTGCGGGGGGGGGGGAGAACAGTACATGGAACATTTTTTTATTCACAATGTAAAGCAGTACTAGTGCAACAGTAGCCCAATAATCTAACACAGAACCGGTATCCGTAATAGTCTACATTTGAAAAATAAATATTAAGGAAGCAAGTAATAAGCTATTAAGCACTTTTAGATTTTGTTGTAATGTCATTTGTACATCTCAATGTTTCAAAATACAGGTTTAATATCCAATAGAAAACTAGCAAAGCTTTTCATTACGAATATGTGCTACATTCACAACTAATGTATCTTCTATATATTTATCTGTTTTGACACGTTTTGAAAGATAATTGTGATAATAATGGTGCAAACAATAAAAGAAAAGGTGATTCTTCTTGATTAAACCGCAACTGCATATACGTTTTAACTTTCTTTTTGTTTACATTCTGAGAGCATACATGAACTGAAAATAGAAAGAAAATTCGTATTCCCCTCAGAATTGTTTTCCTCGGCACAAAACAAACCTCGGGGCCACAATGGAGTCAATATACCTTACAAACAAACCCGTAAAACAGCGTTGTAGCCAAACAACACAATTTGGAATATACATTAGCTTATACCCATGTACTGCAGGGTATGATAAAGCGACGTTAATATATGATCTGACTCTGTATATCTTCAACAGTGTTTCTCCATATCCGAAACTATGTTGGTGGGAGATTTCCATATATTGTTTTAAAAAATTCCTTTAACATACACCGCTGTTTTGAGCCATGGACTAGCTGCTCAGAAATTCAATGTATCGCACGGACTCGAGTTACAAGTTGCTCAGACAATCCATTTTCGCTCGCCCTTGATAGTCATTCATTAAAGTATGGTTACATTTTTAAAGTCCTTTATCCAGCTGTCTGATTTTTAATCATTATACTCTCTGTGTCATGAAATTCTAACATCGACAGGAATTCGAATATTACCCGAATTCCTGTCCTGCCTTGTGGTAGTCCTTGCCCGATACGAACGCAAAACCACCTTTTCTTTTCCGAAGAGAAACCGTTCGGCCTTTCTGATGGAATATTCCTTTTGGAAATACGAATGCAGAGTGTTGTAGGGACCGTTTCGACAACTAGTCATTTCACCTACAAGGATCTAGAGCCAATCTCTAAAGGCTCTCGGTTTTCATTCAGACTTTTCGAAAGGAATTCCCCACTTGCATCGACATCGAAGGTATCGGTACCTATAACAATACCTAATTCAACATTCCTCCCTTTCGTTTTGTGCGCATTCTTTTCTTGAGTCTG